CACATTCGGTTCTCTGAAGAAAAGATTTGTGTTTAAAGAACCTTCACATAATTTAGTGTTTCTATACTAATTTAATCTTTTTACACTGTAATGTTGATGGAATATGTTTGAATGTAAATGTACATGATTTACCAAACTTTCATCTTTGTAAGTGAGCAACCATGTCAACACTGATGTGCTGTTATTGTGTTTAATTGTGTCAGTTGTGTTGGATGGTTTGACATGAAGAAAGCTGCTGTTTGTTTCTCTCTCTCTCTCTCTCTCTCTCTATATATATATATATATATATATATATATATATATATATATATATGTATATGTGTATATATATATATATATATATATATATATATATATATATATATATATATGTATATGTGTGTGTGTGTGTGTGTGTATATATATATATATATATATATATATATATATATATATATATATATATATATATATATATATATATGTGTGTGTGTGTATATATATATATATATATATATATGTGTGTGTATATATATATATATGTGTGTGTGTGTGTGTGTGTGTGTATATATATATATGTGTGTATATATATATATATGTGTGTGTGTGTGTGTATATATATATATATATATATATATATATGTGTGTGTGTGTGTGTGTGTGTGTGTGTGTGTGTATATATATATATATGTGTGTATATATATATATATATGTGTGTGTGTGTGTGTGTGTGTGTGTGTGTGTGTGTGTGTGTGTGTATGAACTCATAAACTCATAGTTACATCTTTTGTGGGGCCCTTGGCTTAGTTATTATATTCCAAACATATTTCTTAAAACAAACAAAATGATCTGCTAATAGAGTGACAATTTCTGAATGTTGAGACTCATGGTGCATTTCTCTGTTTTGACCTCCAGGTGGCGTGCTGATACTTCTTAGGCAAATGTAGACCTCAACATCTCTAGAATGTTGAAACTCGTTATTGCATGTTCAAAGATTGAATTCTTACAGGTACAGTTTGATTAATTGGATGCAATTCAGCTCTTGTATGCAACAGTGATGCATTTGCACATGTGACAATTTAACTTTTATTAGTAAGACATACATTTGAACACAGGATAATAAAAATTTCAGCATGACAACATATAAAAAAATTAGTTAAATTTTTTACTTACTGGTAACGAAGCTACGCAAAACCTTACAAAGCATTTTTAATGGGGAAATTGGGCCAGATACAAATCAATGAAAGTAAATAAAACACTGTACACATGCAAAAACACATATGCTGAGGGGGTCACATTACTACAGAGACATTTTAAAGTACATTAATGCTTTAAAAGTTTTATAAAGGGCTTAAATTAATTCAAAGTAAGGTTTTATCTGCTGTTCGAATGTGTCCTTTTTCCTGAGAATTTATATATATAAACTATATTAAAATAATAAGATATATTATGTGGAGATGAGTGCATTTCCAAAAGACCCAATAATACCTGATTCCATAATAAACTATACAGTTGTCTATGTTATGCAGAGTAAAGGCACTGAGTTCTCGCCAAAAGGTATTTCACATATCGACAGTGCCGCAATACATGAATAACTGTCTCGGGATCTTTAGGACAAAATGTTCAAGCTTTGTCAATGTTGCCTTCAAACTTTATCACATAGTTTTTAGCTGAGTAGATTTTATGAATATGTGAAAATGACACTTTTTTTTTACTTTGTTAGTGATTAGTTAGTGCATCAATTCCCAGTCATGTTCCTAGAGAATCGCCTGTCCTGCACAGAACAGCTTGTTTATTGAGCAGGGCTGGGTTTCCCAAAAGCACCTCAGCACAAAGGTGATTCTTGAATGGTAGAGCGAGCATCACACTGAACACTTTCTCTACTTATTAAGACGATCCCAATGTTAAGATGCTTTTGGGAAACAGGGCCCACATTAGTTGGATCAGGACTGAGCTGGCATATGGCATATCATGTAGCACTTTGCTATTGTTGGAAAAAAAACTCGTATCTCCAAAATGGTAACTTTACAGGGGAAAAAACCTACTTTACTTTTAATGTAAGTCAATGGAACCAGACTTTTTTCCTAGTAATTTTACGTCAGTTCTTTTGGTCCATTCATCATGAAATTGACATACAATGTAAAGGACAACAGATATTATCAAATGTGCCGGAGCGCATTCGGAACTTTTCACAAAATTTGTTCCACCAAAACATTGGTTGTTTTGTCTGTCGCTTCCTAATAGTGGTTTACCTGATGCATTAAAGCCTTGTTTCAATTGTTTTTGAACTGCCCTCACCCCCACACCCATTATTCAAACGAATGCACTCGCTCTCCGCAGGTTAGCCTCAGTGAGCTAATCGGCTAGCTATGCAAACTTTGACATTCAAAATATTTTTTAAGACGTTTGAGCATAATGTATATAACTTGTGTTAGTTTTGCTTTGTTTGGCTGTGAACTCAGAACAGAACTGAGCTGGAATGTCTTTATTTTTGTTCTTTTTAGCCATGTAGCCCTTAGCACACTAACAAGCCAGTTAGCAGAGTTAAGTGATGATTCTCAGCGTTCATGTATAACAGATGGAGCAGTTTGTAACTTAAAGCCCAGAAAATCGAATGTTATGGTCTCGAAATGTTAAAAGGGATTTTTCAAAAATTCTACATAATTAATTGGTGGGGATGTAAACAAAGTCACTCTGAGTGGTTTGGTGTGAAATGCTCTGTTCTAGAGAAACTTACCGTATGAGAATTGTTCACAGTGGTGGTGATAGGAACCAGACATCCTCTAAAAGCTCCCTCACAGAAAGCTATTACATGAAGTGGTTATATGTTCTGATGTCTAAGACATTGTTAGTTCTGTGATCATGTTTTGTCTTAAGTGTATTTTAATCAATGTATTTTAATCCAGTCATGGTGGAGGAATACATGCAGGGCTTTTCAAGCACAAATAGTCCCCAAATAAAACTGATTTTATCAGATGTATGAATATTTTACCATCATCACCATTCCATATAAAACTCAGAAGACTCGTGTAGGTTCACTGGTGGTTTGGATAGTTAATAAAATGTCTATATTTGTGTTGTAGTCATGGCGACCCCTGGTTCCTATCACCACCACTGTAAAGAAATCAGAGGCTGTAAGTTTCTCCATTATTTCACATCAAACCACTCTGAAGGACTCAGGTTTACATCTTAAGGATTTAATTATTCAGAATTTTTAGAAAATTGGTGGAATTGCCCTTTTAGCATTTTAGTGTAGTTTGTTGCTGTAGCTTATAAACAGCTTTGTCTGCCATTATTTTGGGGTTTGAAAAGGATCACAATGATTTCTGGGCAAGTTCTGCTGCTGAAGTTGAAGCTCAATCCTTCGCCCTTCAGGGGACTCATCTACCACCCTTCACTTTAGCTAATACAGCAAAGGAACAGCCCTTAAGATGGTGCTGGGGGTCCCCCCGAGGGGAGGTGACAAGGCCTAGTGGACGATGGCTTCTTAAAACCAACCAGTAGGCCAAGAATTCATCTTATGTCTCATTTTTCCTTTACTCTGTGATATCAACCCATCAGAACAAACACAGAATTCCAGTAGCGATTATGGGACACCATCAGGAACCAATACATACACACACACACACACACACACACACACACACATTAAAGCCGCTTATCCTTCCGAGTCGCGGGGGGAGCTGGAGCCAATCCCAGCAGTCATTGGGTGGAAGGCAGGATACACACTGGACAGGTCATCAGGAACCAACAGAATCGTTTAAGTGTTTCTTTTTTTTTTTTGTTTTTTTTCAGCAGGGAAATCAGAGTCTATATGAGCTGTTTTCATTATAAATGACTGGCTAACTGGGTTGAAGTGAGTAACAGTGTTGAACACAGATCACATTTCCCATTAAGCTGATATTAATATAGTAAAGAAAACATAAAGTATACAACATAGAGCAGAAGGGAAAGTTGAAAATTGTTTTAATCATAATGTTTTCATTAAAATCTTTGTTTCAGTCCATTTTCATTTCACTTAGGATAATTGAAGATGTAAAAACAAATTTAGCCTAAAATGAGCAGCATTCAGGAGTGGTTGGTGTGACAGGGTGCATATCACTGCTGTCGGAAGAAAACCTTGTATCTCCAAAATGGTAACTTTACAGGAGAAGCAAACGTACTTTACTTTTAATGTAAGTCAATGGAACCAGACTTTTTTCCATTCATAATGAAATTTACACACAATGTAAAAGGGAACAGGTATTTTCAGGACTGAAAAATGACAAAAATGGAGGTACGAGGTTTTCTTCCGACAACAGCGATATGTTGCATGCTAACTGCTAATAATATACGTACTGGGTAACAGTGGTGCACGTAAAATGTGGGACGTGGGTTAAAATGACTTATTTTGGTTACACTAAATAAATTAACAGGGAAAAATAATTGTTTTAAAATGGAATAGCTTGGAAATGAACCACTATAATGGTGTTACTGGAAGACATATTTCATAGATAAAGGTGGATATGGACGTTTTATGTTTCTGTGATCATATAAATGCTACTTTTAATAATATAACTTCATCTCTTTACCTTATACAGTGAATAAAAAACAACAACAATCTCTTCATCGCTTTGAAAGAGATGGTGGGACATAAACTGAAGTCCTAACCAATGGGAGAGCTCGCTTGGCTTTATCCACCTAGATACCACTGTGAAGACAATCCTGATTGGACAGTTTTTGGTGGGCGGGTCCAGAATGTAACCCTTTTGTTTATTAAGAGTGAAATAAGAGCATTACTCCACATAGCACCAATAATTATAAGTATAGAAAATAACATGAGCTAAAAATGTACAGACTTTGTTTCTTCGCATTCAGCCCTCATTGGTTTATCAAAGTGCTCTGCCCACGTGCAGTTAAGGTAGCACGTGGTGTTCGGACGCATCAATGAACATTCCCCGGGCCTCCCCTCCGGAAGTGACGAGGCGGTGGAATGTGCGCGAAAGGCGGCGGAGGTGCTGCAGTGGGGCGCAGTGCGCATGCGCGGGCTCGGTGTTGTTGCAGGTTCAGAGCGCGGTGACTTTCTTCTCGACCTCAGAGAGAAACAGAGAGCGGGAGAGACGGACACGGACAGAGGTTTATGGTTTACAGCTGTGTCCAGTTTGTTCTTGAGGGACGACAAGAGCTGCTCAACCCAGGTGGACCCAGGTGAGACCCTGAAGAAGAAGAATCCCTGCGTTGCTGGAGGAATTTCTCCGAGAAGGAAGAAGGAAGGAAGGAAAGCAGGGAGCCGGACAGACTGAGCAGGTCTGGGTTTTGGTTGTTAAGCTAGGTGTTCATGGCTCTGTTCACCGTGTGGACATTGGCATCCTTACTGGTCATCCGTGGTGTGGTTACCTGTGCTGTTGTGTCTCCGTAGCAGAGGAAGGAGAGAGAGATAGAGGATAAACCGGTTAATGTACCAAATGTTGCTTCATTGAAAGCAGCTTCCTGGTCGAATTTGCCGTTCCACCTTAAATGGTGCAGCAGTTGCATTCTCGAGCCTGGCGCCAGAATGTAACTGCTGCACCTTTTAAGGTGGAACGGGAAAATACCACTAAGAACTTGACTCCAGCTTTATATTGCTTTTAAACGTTCATATCAAACGCCAATATAAATAACGACTCTGTGAAGGTTTATGTGTTTTATAGCCCCTTAAGCTTTCAAACCTTCACCTCAGACCTGCTTTCCTTCCTCTTTTCCTCCTGTGTTTTCTAGTTATATCACTTGTATCAGTCTTGCAGCAGCGTTTGACTTGGTCTCTATCAAGCTCTTCCTTCTAGAACCTTCTGTGGAACCTTCTGTTCTAGCAAATTTCTTACAATTGGTCAAACTTCCAACGTGGGAAGTGTTGACAAGCTCCGCTTAAACCCCCACAGAACTTTCTAGAACTTCAGGTGTTGCTTCTCTTTGACACAGTAACTCTTCCTCCCTGCTGAACAACACCAGTATACGTGTTGGTTCCTTGTGGTGTCTGATAGTGACAGTGTAAAGGGTTCTAATGGTTCAGCAGGTGTCTTTGGATTGATTCCAGAGGCATTTGATGGTTTCCTGATGGGATGTCCTCCAGGAAGCTAGTGGTTTCCTACCAATTCCCATTAGAAAGAAGCACTATCAGGTTTTAATCCTGGTTCTAATGGTCTGTTCTTCGGCAGTGTTCTTGTTCTTCTGAGGTGTTTTACGATTGGGACTTGTAGACCAACGTGAGCTTATCTTGGCTTCTTATCGCATTTTCCAACTGTTGATTCATTCAGTTGTTTATCACGTTGCCACTTAACCCTGCTAAAAAAACATAGAAACCATTGTGTTTCTGTTGGTTCCCAATGGTTTTGTAATGTGTTTTGGCTTTTTTAGTGGGTAAATATCACAGTGTAAAGTATCCCAGTGGTTTAACAAGTGACCCCTGGCTGATTCTAAATGCATTTGATGGTTTCCTAATGAGATCTAAAGATATTCTGTAGAAAACAAGTGGTCTCTTTTAGAAATAATTAAGCACATTCCCATTAAAAAGCACAACCATTAGGTTTTAATCAATGCTTTTTCGGGAGGGCAGGCCTGTTAACCCAGATAGTGAGCATATATCGGTCCGCTGGCTTGATAAGGTCGACACCCCACTGACCGTTCGCCACTGCCGGTCCATCTTTGGACCATCAGGATTACTGTCCTGCATACAAGCTCTAACTAGTTTTTAATCTTCTCAAACAGATTTCAAATGCACAGGGACTTTTATTTTGGAAAATAAATTATGACAATTATTACAAAGTGTAACTAAAAAAAGGAAGGAAACAAAAATAAGTAAATAAGACTGAGAGCGATGATAAGTGGAAATTTGTCTAATACTCTGCTTAAACACCGGTGGGCCGCATGGAAAACGCTGAGCAAAACAGCAGTGGACCACCGGCTTTGCCATCAGCGGGACTACAGTGGCTCACTATCCTCTTGCATTTAATGAAAGTCCTGGACACTCAATCAGTGTCTTGATTATAATTATTATTGTTTTTTTTTTCTGGCCAGCTATGCAAGCGATTCAGTCTATGGTAGATGGATGTTCAGCTACAGAACCTAAATTTCTCAGTTATGGCATTGAAGTTCTGCCTAGAACCTAAACATGTCACCAACAGAGCTCCCAAACAACTGTCCCTACACTGGGGGCAGTCTAAACTAGTACTGGGCAACGTGACAATATTTATCGTTATTGTGATAAATTACATTTTATTATGTAATATCGTCAGTAAATCACTTCCCAACTGCATGTTTGATTAAAAAGAGCATGATTAGTCCTGTTTAATTGGATTTAGTGCAGTGTTTGAAATGTTGAATACAAATAATTGGATTTTTGTTTTTGATAGTTATTAAATGTCAGAAAACATAGATAGATAGATAGAACTTAATTGTCATTGCTCAGTACAAGTACAAGGCAATGCATTGCAGTTAGCATCTACCAGAAGTGCAAATAGTAGCAATACTGCAAAACGGAATGCAAATGTGCAATAACAGACAGAAATATGACGTATGTATGAAATATATAACTATATGAACAATATATACATGATTATAAATATATATATATGCTTGTGTGTATATATACCCCATATCATGATAGAGCTTAAACCTCCTGTAGCATCGTGATATTACAGTATCGCCCAGCTCTAGTCTGAACCAATCAGGCCCATACTTTGTACACAAATGCTTAGACTGTATAAAACAAAGCATTTTAAACTTCCTTAGAAAGACTAACATATAAAAATGATTGGATTTCGGAGCATTTAGAATTCAGTTTTTCCTGTACAGGCAACCTAATACTAGACAGTGCAGGGGAATCTTGATCAGGTGGCAGCCCTACGTCACATACCCAGGGGTAAATTTTAAAAATATGGGTTGACTTTCACAGAAAAGTTTACTGATATGAGCTCATTATCTCTTAACTAAAGTAATGAATGCTGTTTTCTGGAGCACTCTCTCGGAAGCATGTGTTTACATCTGTAATGAACCAGAACGGTAGCCACGGTAACTGTAGCAAGAAAACAAAGGAAGTGGGGGTTGTCAAAATTTGGACACCTAACTGAACATGCAGTTTTCACAGCCTTAAAGTTGATTTGGCCTTAAGGCTTATGCTTAAATGCAGGTGATAAAATGACATACCAGCAGCCTTTAAAACTCTATATTCAAAAAAATGAAAGAAAAAAATATTTGCATACTCCCCCAACAAGAGGGTCTCAGCACCCACAAGGTCTCAGCATGTGTGGATCTTCTTCAGTCCTGGCGGAGAAGCATCTCAGGTGGCTCCTCATGAAGCTGCGAGACAAAATGATCGAGGGTTTATGAACCTGTATCAAGGTCAAAGGTAGTTTAACACTTTTTTTTGGTACTGAAAAGCAAAGATGATGATTCTTCAGGGGTTCTTTAATGAAGTCTGTGATTCTATTTAGAACCATAAGCTTCATATAGAACCATTTCTTGCTTAACTGGTTCTTTGCATGGTGAAATGGTTCTTCATATTGATAGATAATGTGTTGTATATGGTTATATTATCACAAGCATGACATCATAGTAATAGAGGAACCCTTTTTGGTGCTGTAAAGAACCATTTTTTTAAAAACGTTCAATATAGTACCATATACACATTCTCCATTAATCTGAAGAACCATTTTACTGTGCAAAAAACCCTTTAAGCATGTGGATGGTTCTATATATAGGATGTTTCAGACCAGTGCAACACACACTAACACACCACCACGTCAGTGTTACTGCAGTGCTGAGAATGATCCACCACCCAAATAGTACCTGCTCTGTGAGGGTCCATGGGGGTCCTGACCACTGAAGAACAGGGTAAAAGGGGGCTAACAAAGAAACAGATGGACTACAGTCTGTAACTGTAGAACTAGGTATAGAACTCATGGTGCTAAGTAGATCTGTTGCCTTTACTAAGAACACTTGAGGAACTATCTGTAAGTGTGCAGCTCTGTAATTCTGCATGTGCTGTTTTGTAGTTCTGTTGTCTGCAGTGTGCAGTGTTTGCTGGCTGAGCTCTCTGTGTAGTGAAGGCTAGTGAAGTTCTTTCAGTGCTCTTTAAAATGCTGTTGCCCGGTAGGCAGTTCTGGACGGTCTCTCTGCTCTGATAACTGGCTCACTGTGCAAACATTTGCAAATCATTTAATTTTCATGAGCATGTTTTAGACTCATTGACTTGGATTTTACTAAACTGTCCATATTTGGTCAGTTCTAAGCGTCTCTCGTGGCATTTGACGCTGCTTTTGAAAAGTCATAGCAGTCCTGTTTAATTTCATTTGTATGTTGGAACTGATCAAAAAGCACCAGCTGTTGTACATAAAAAAAAAAAAAAGGGTTACTGAATTGAACTATCCGAATGTTTACGGTTATTTTTATCCAATGGTTCACACATAAACACGTTGTGCTGCACTAAATCCAGTTAAACAGGACTGATTCTGCTGTCTTTGGTCTTTGACTTTCCCCAAGTACAGATAACGCAAGTAGGGTGTGTGATTATATATCGCTGTAGTCAGAACAAAACTTCGTATCTCCATTTTTGTCCAAATTTACTTACTGTTTGGATTTACTTACTTTACCTACTGGCCCAAAATTACTTGGGGGGAAAAAAGTCTGGTTCCATTGACTTACAAAAAAAAAACAAACATATTTTTATTTTTTCTTCTCCTGTAAAGTTACCATTTTGGAGATACGGGGTTTTGTTCGGACAACGAATATATGTACAATATATATATATATATATATATATATATATATATATATATATATAGATAGATAGATAGATAGATATATTTGTTTGAATTTTTATAGAAATACAGCTTTCTGGCAAAATAAGTGTTAGATGCTGAGTCAGGTTTGATCTGCAATGTTGACATTGGCTTTTTATTTGGCTGCTTTTTACACACCGGTATAACAGTAACTCTTACCTGAGGAAGTATTTCAACAAGTATCCCAGATAAACTATGCAATGATCTCAGTAAAGTGTGTTGTGATATCTGAAAGTAAGAAGTCAGTTATAACAGCAATGATGTTCCTTAAAAGTAGACGAATGTTTTTTTTTTTTTCCAATTAGGTGTAAAATTTTGTCAAATTAGTTATTTAGTTTCTTCTTAATACTGCATTTTCTGTACTTCAACAATCTGAATAATTGGACTAGTTTTCTGACAAACAGTATCGTACCATAGCAATAACAACCATTAAAATAAACACAGATGTCTGTGAAATAAAGGTCATAATTTATGTGGACTTTTACATGCATT